AAGACGCAGTTGGAGCACTGTGTTACCCGAAAAAGTTTCCACATTACACTCGTTGGGCATGCGAGGGATACGCTCTGTTCTTAATTGCTTAACGTTGATACTTTACCATGCCTCTAGTAAGATGGCCGCCGTAGCCGCCATCTTGTCACAGGTATGGCTTCACTCCTAGGGAATGATTTCCACTCCAGAAATTTTTTTAATCCTCCTTGTGGCCAAGGCATTGGAGGGCGACGCATGTCGTCCTCGATGATTTTGAGCCCGTCAGAAAGCGACGTGATGGAGTTAGCTATTGCCTTTAGGTCTCTTTCGCGGTCGGTAGCCTCTCGCGGGCAACGCAACTCGGCCGCAGTGCAACTGGCAACACAAGGAGGGGCTGTACTGTTTTTGCTGTGAGGGCTATTCAAACTGTAGGTGCGATGTTTTGCGTCCATGACAGCATGCCAGTAGAATAGTGACGCACGACTGATTAAAGATGCCTGATTAATGCGCTGCGAAATTCCGAGAAAAGCAGCGCAAGTTACCGGGCTCGCAATGATGATATTTTCTTGAATGTCCGGGCACAAACCGCGTAAAAAGTGCCGCAACCGATCGTCTTCTGTCATGGACGGGTTGACCCTAGCACAAAGTTGTGCGACCTAGTAATACTGCTCAGGGATTTCAAGAAGGCAGCTGTGTGTAGTTTTGTTGACGCAAATGGGCAATCCTAATCGAGTGCCGACTTGTGACTGAAGTTTTCAAGAGCATCGCCCACTCTTCCTATTAATTCGGGGCACCCATTAAAACTTGCGTCGTGCACAACTTTTTTTTTGCATCCCATTCTAGTGCCAAATATAAAAATTTAACCTTTGTGGCTTGGTCCCACTTGTTCAATGACGCCACATGCTCGTAGCAAAGTAGACACTCATACATAGATTCCTCCGGCACGCCTTTAAAAACTGGAGGTCCCATTAAAGGTCTCGCTTGGGGGGTAGACATAGCGGAGAAAAAGGTAGGGGGTTCCGTCATTGTAGAGAAGTCCGAGGTTGTTTTCTGGTGCTTGTTATTGACTCGGGGCATAAATTTAGAGTGGTCATATTGCTACCAAGCAACCTCCACCACCTTGTAGAGACACTTCGGGGTGTTTAAGCTACACACATCTGAAGACCGTCGAGACGAAGAAGTGCGGGAGCAATTCCGCACAGGCAAGCAATAACAAGTCGACACGATGATTTCGGGCAGCACTCATTGGGGGTTTATTTATGTCATTCAAATTTATATTTGGACAATGTACAATGCCACAACAAATACAAATCATGGAAAATGATGGCATAGCCCTCGGCTTGCATCACTTGTCTCCGGTGGTGAGATGCACTGTTGACCCCGAGTCCGCTCACCCCAAAAAGGGCCTGAGTCACTGTTTAAGTAGAATTTTTCAGCGTCCACGAGTTAGCGGATCAATCAGGCAAGCCGAGGATAACCAATGCCAACACGAGTTTTCATAGTCGGGTGAAGCCTGCCTCGCAACAAAACTGTAGCAGCTTTTTGAAACGGGCACATTATCTAAAATGGCTTTGGCGCGCAAACAAGTGCCCGATTACCCGGAAGACCCAAGCAGCCCCTCGCTCGTTTGAGGTGGTTTTGGTAGTGGTTAGAGGAGAAAGGCTTCGAATTTCTGCAGGTCGGTCGGGAACACGCCATGGCGCCTGGTTTGGCACGAAGCGCACAGTGACCGACCGGATGCAGCTTTTTCTGTTCAGACTCTCATTCTTCGTTGAGGCGCCCTCATCAAAACAAGTCGTCAAATAGCGCCTCTAACGAGAGCATCTGGCAAATAATAAATTCCAGCTGTAACTGAAAAAGAAAAAGCTTTCTGCGAGACATTGCCTTCGCGACAGTATGCTGATGACATCACCCCCTGGGCCATGCAGAGTGCACTCACAGATATTAAAGCAAACCTGCAGCAAGCCGTGAGAATAGTCGACCACTATGCTCGCCAGCGTAGTCTTCAGTGCTCGCCATCCAAATCAGAATTCATGCACATACATCCCTCACCAAAATACATGGTTAAAAGTGAACTCTTACTAGAGACAATTCCAATCTCTGATTAAAAAGGAGTCCGGTTAGTGGGGCTCTTTATTATTCAAAATAGACGGTAAGACACCACATTGACCAAACTTCGGAAGGCGGGCAATCACGTGGGCCACATGGTCCGCTGGGTCTCTAGTAAGCGCGGGGGACTATGGTGCAGAGATGCCTTTTGGCTGGCTCATGCATTTGTAGGCAGTAGAATCGTATATTCTACTCCTTACCTCCACCCGCCGAAATAAGACGAAGATTTACTGGAAGTCATCCTTCACAAAATTGTAAAGCGAGCCCTCGACCTCTCCATGATCACCATTAAGCAGCGTATTCTTGGTCTAGGCGGGGGAAATACGTTTCGGAAGCTTCGAGAGGCCCACCTCACAAATCAGTACACTCGACTTTCACAGACGGTAGCGAGGCGCCAGGTATCAGCCGACCTACTCTTACAACACAATAAAATCACGAAAAATCGCGGTAAACTCTCATTCGAGTGCAGACGAACTCTCCACGTGCGTTCCCTTCCAAATAGTAGGACAAAAGAAGACCACAATGGCCGTAACCTGGCGTGGGCGGTAACCCTGGCCTGCTATTGTGGATCAAATCTCAGCATGTCCCACGTGAACACCTCCGGCCCACACCCTCGAGGAACGTACACGGCCGCTGTCGTACACGAGAACGAAACAGTTAACTAGCTCAGTTTTCAAGCTCGGGACATAATTCATGTGGAGGCAGTCGCCATTGTATTGGCCGCTTGTCACGCCAGGTCACAAACCATCATTTCCGACTCTCGAGGGGCCTGTCGAAACATCGTGAACGGCTGTGTGGTGTACCTCGCCTACTGCTTATTGCAACGTTTGGACTATCAGGGAATGCCTGCACCCCGCCGTATAGTCTGGGCGCCTGCTGAAATCGGAATCAAAGGGAGTGAGGCAGCCGATGCCGCAGCCCGCGCGCTCTTTCACCAGGCATTCCCACTCACATCACCTAATCAGAACGACCTTGCATTCAACCCGGTGTATTCTTTCCGCGAAATTGTGGAGTATTACCAATTCAATCACAGCTATTATGCACGCCCACGCAAAGACCTAAGTAAAGCGGAGGAGCGGCTTTTTACTCCGACTCTTCACGAACACTATGTTGTGCCCACCTGCCCTTAAACATTTCGATGCCGTCTTTTCTGGCAGCTGCTCACACTATGAAGAGAAGTCTTCGGACATCAACCACATGGTGAGGGCCTGCCCGTGGAACCCTGTTGTACCCTTTATACCTAACCCTACCCGGGAGGAGTCGGAGGTCACCCTGCTTTGCTGGTCTAACCTTCAGGCCCAAAAAGCCTTGGTTTGACGAGCCCAGGCAGCAGCCGACGCAGGGTCCCGTACAAAAGATATCTACCTACTCATTTTGGGGACCGTCCCTTTATGAGGCGGTCGCTGCACACCTCCTTTTTTGCTGTTAAATATATGTTTTTACCGCCACCACAGTCACACCGTCCAGTTGGTTGACGATGTCAGACGCTTGAACAACGTGGCGTTGCGGCGTCAGTGTGATGATTGCTGAAGAGCGTTCACCAGGGCAAACACCGATTTCAGCGAGAGTTTCGCCAGTGGCACATTGGCTTCGGCTGCGACGTCTCTGACCACCTGTGGTTTGAGAACAATCACTGTGAATAACGAATTGTAAAATGCATTAAACATACACTATATTCACCCATTATCATTCGTTCATTCTTCTAACACAGTGCTAAATCCGAGTAAAAGCTGTGTCCAATCTCATTAAGAAGCACGAACATGTAACCAGCCATTGTAAAACGCCTCGAAGTCATGTCGGGTTGAACTCACTGCTAAACACCGAGGCCGCATGTTTCAGCTTTCGCTGCTTAACCATTTGCATGGAGTGTTTTGGCGGTGCCTTTCTCTCTTTATTTCTCTTGCGATTGCAAGGTGCTGCTGAACAGAGGTGCTAAATATCCAGAATGCTGTACTTTCGGCGTTGTCGTTAGTGAAATTTTCAAACTTACTAGACAGCGTCATGACAACAAACTGAAGAGAGGTATCTGTTCTTATTCTTCTTCGTTTTCTACTGCGTGTGCTACCGAAATTCAACTTCTGCATCAAATAATACAACGGTGTTAAAATATCTGCTGAAAAATGCCGTGATTCTCGTGAGCACCTTTTTGAAAGAAACTACCACTGGTCAAAAGGCAACGGTTTGGTGAGAGTGTACTTACACAGAATAGATAGTTGCCACTTGAAACACTTTGCTTTCTATTGTATATTTGGGCAACACCACCTAAATTTTCGATCAGGCTGCCCTCAGGCCTAGTCAGTATGTGGGCAGGGTCACGCCAGGTCGGCTTGCTTTTTCTTCGTGCTTGGGCTGCGGCCAAGTCTCATTTTGAAGACCCTGCGACGGTTACGGGGGGCTAATACTGAACAACTTCCGGGCACAGGCTTAGAGTAACGGCCTTTGCAATGCTTTAATGCACACTCACGCTAAAAAATTCTAATGCAGCGCCGAAGAAGAGAAATCGGTTTGTAGAAATGTCGACTACCTTAACAAGAAGGGAAATCTAGGCTAGTTGGTAATAGTTCATATTTTGATAACTTACAGTGCAAGAAGGACGAAGACGCAGTTGCTCTGTCGAAGCTGGTTGAACTGCGCAAATATTCGTGCTTTTCCTTTCAATAAACTTTAGTTGAGAGTAAGTGCTCGTGCTGTCTTATCCTTCGTCTGTGTCTTCGTCTGTCTTTCTCTGTGAGTTGTCGACTACCTTGATTAAGAAAATTTTTTAAGTTTTCATCTTCTACTGCATCCTGTTCTTTTTTTATTTTCAATAAAACGGTGTTTTCGATAGTTTGCTATGAAAGCGCGTTTAATTCCCTAAACGAGCTTAAGCGTCACTATTCACTACTTTTTTTAATAAACTGGTATATTTGCAGGTGACAGCTGCATTGTTCTTCTCCTCACAGCTTCAAATTATAGTGCGCGAGATGCGCCTCGCCGGACGAATCTTACCAACACTACGCAGAATCGGCACAGGAGGCAGTGTACTTCCAACATCTGTCACGAAAGCAGCCTACGAAGTATTCTGTAATCTTGAGCAACTTTTGAATCCATACGTCATGACCGAGTCATGTGGTTACGTCACGGCTCAACCAAAATCTGCTGGATGTCGAGACAGCACTGATGTTGGAATACCTGTGACCGGAGTCACAGTCAAGGTACATCATTGCTAATGAATGCTGCCATATTACCAGTGGTACGGCCGCTTGATATTCGTCAGTTTCTGAGGTGTATTACATATTCAAGGTCCAAACTTGATATCCTAATGCTTTTGTAAAAAATGCCGCATTGCAATACGTGAGCTCTTTGTAAACGCAAAGCGATTTCGCAGTGCAAAAACGTTCTACATTTTAGAAAACATTAGCAACGAGGGGATTAGCCTGATGAGCCTAGAAGAATTATCAGGCGAAAAGTCGCATATTCTGTATACCCGGCTGTTTACGCTTGCCTAAAGATGCCAAGAGCAAAATACGCATACTACCAATATCAGAAGCAGTAAACTGATGTGTAGCGCTTTTGCTTTAGAGGGTGGTAGCCCTGGCAATTGCAACAAAAATCAACTTGTTTGGATGGTGCTTTGCACACTACTGATGTTACCCGACGTCATGCCTCTACCATAGGAGTGCAATGTAATGTTTATAAAATTAGATCGCTTGCACTGCCACCAAAACTGATATATCAGAAACATTACTTCATGGGGTCTTTTTTCCAAACAAGTTTCAAGAGCTTGGATGGCTCTAGAGTAGAATACCTAATTGCAATGCAGAGTGCTTGAGTTCGATGTGAGCCTAATACTCAGTCTTCGAATTCGTCAATTTCATGCTGCCATTGTGAGTTTTTTTAACACTCTCGCATTCAAATTAGCAATGTCTATTCTCACCGTCTTTGGAATATAGCTCCGTTATTCGCCTGTCGCGCATGCTAATGTACCACGGCAAGCAGTATATGGGTATGTGCCGCAAGTATCGGGATGAAAAGGTTTGACGACGTACGCGGCAGGATTTTCATATTATTAAATCTATGAACCACTTCCCCGAAGGTAACCCTGTTGTGATGCAAAGCAGCAGTGGTTAAAACGGGCGTCAACACGGGTGCTTGAAGAACGGTTTGAACCAAAAGTCAGTGTAGCGCTTAGTCGAGTAAACATTTGTATGAAACACAAAGACACGGCAGGCGGGACGCGTTGAAGAAGGTTGCGCTCAGCGTGCCGTCTGTATTCTCGAACGTGATCGGTGCTCCTTTTCGGTGTTGATGTCGCCATCCGCGAACGCTGCTTCGCTAACCCTGGTAAGGCCGTCGAAAGGCGGAAAAAGTTTGCGCACACTAGCAGAAACATGCAGTGACGATGTACCGCCTGCCAGCGCGATCGTGCGGCAAGCAGTGGCGCGCTTTCGCCATTAGAGAGCATTAGTTTAACGCGCGCAACGGCCTAGTTCACGCATCGCCTGAAAGCACGGCTGCGCATGCGCTGTACGTAGGAGAGATGCGTGCGTTTGCACCCGCGAGGAAAACGCACACTAGATCTCGGCTCTGACGTTGCACACGCTACAACCGCTGTGAGATCTCTCCTTGGTTAGAACACAAAAACCAAGATGACCGCGACCAACATTAACATAAGCAGCAGTGCGGTCATGGCTGCGAGTAAATCCCACATACATTTTATGGTTGCCCTCGATTAGGAGCTCCTTGCTTACGTGAGGAGCTTAAATCAGTTCACGGACTCCGTGCAATGAACAGTAATCACTATTAAAATACAGCAGCTGGCGGGGATGCCTTCCAACGCCTGGAATGTCCACCGTTTTAAGTCTCATGTGTTGACTCTTGTCAACTATGGTTGGCTATGGTAGTTTATTGCGTAGTCGCTAGGTGGCGCAAAGAAGCACTCCAAGGCGAAGGTGTTAACGTTTAGGCGCAGTCCATTTGTCAGTTGTCGCGTACGCTAAACTAATACTGTATGAAGCAGGCTCAGCTGTAACGTACGTAGCGCGCTAGCCTTTGCTCACGTACCACCTTGAGCGCGCCAAAATAAATCTTTCTATTGTCGGTGCCGCAAGATTCTCGAGGTACGAACACGTCAGCTCGCGCCTTATTCTCGCCAACAAGTGGAGAGAGGTGGCGTGGTTGCGATGATATACACGTGAAGAGTGTGCACGAGTGTTGCGACCAGTGGAGAAGGTGAAGTGAGAGAGAGCTGACAAGCGGTGAGTGCGTGGCAGACGAGGAAGAGAGATGTGAACGTGCATTGCTAGGAAGGGACGAGCTACTTGGCACCGCCTAAACACCTGCGGCGAGGGTAGTGATGTGGACGGGCGGACACAGGCTAGTCAAAGAGCTCCTTCGCGTCTGAAGAGCGAAACAGCTTATGACTGAGTTTATTCCAGTGGTTTTGCGTGACCACCCTTACTGTACATTCAAGACAGCTGGACCGAGCACTGCCAGAACAAACTTCTGCACTTGCATGTTCGGCCCTGTGGAAGTGACTTTAAGAGGCCCTGGCGTCTCCACCTTACATTCTATGAGCAACGACGTGATGGCCTCAGGGAACGAGCTTATGCAGACGCGCTATACACCCACGTGCTCTCACGTGTTGTGTAGATGAAGCCCTGTGGCGTGCTCCAACAAGAGTTCCGGACGAGTACAGCATCAAAAACTACAGTGAAATAGTGGTGTACTTCTCTTGCAAGGACGCTTGAACATTGGACAAGGTGGCTCAGATGAATGAAACTTTAAGTGGACCCATGCGCCACTTCGTATGCTATTAATAGTCATGTTGGACCAGCCAGACACAAATGCCACATGCTTTTACCTTCTTTTACTCCTTTTTTGTTATAACCCAAGTTAACGACGTGATCACCAGACAACTGAGACGTAGGTTGCTTGATAGAGAGAGAGATAGATAGATAGATAGATAGATAGATAGATAGATAGATAGATAGATAGATAGATAGATAGATAGATAGATATCAGTGTACCTATTTGGATACAGGGCTCAACAGAGATACACTGAAAAAATAATTCTGGAAGAGAGATAACAAATAATTCTGGAAGAGAGATAACAAAGGCCTGAATATGATACTGAGATACATATGCTTTTGACACGAAGGAATGTTTTGAGATTTTTTTAGCAAAGAGACAAGTAAAAAATCACACTATATACACGGAGTGCATGATGATCAGTGAAGCGAAGCAAACGTCCGTCTGTCCATCCGTGTGTCCCTCTGTGCCACCGTCCGTGCGTCCATTCGTGCGTCCGTCTGCGCGTCCGTCTATCTGTGAGTCCATCCGTTCGTTCGTTCGTTCATACGTACATCCATTAATTCATTTGTGCCTCCGTCCGTGCGTCCATATGTCCGTGCATTCGTCCGTGCGTCCATCTGTTCATCTATGCTTCCATTTATTCGTCCGTCCGCGCGTCCCTTCGTGCGTCCGTTCAAGCATCCGTACATGTAGTGAACACTCCAAGTACCGTCATCTGGCACTTTTTCATCATATATTCATCATATATGACCTAGACAGAAGGTTAGGTGGGCAGATGAGATTAAGAAGTTTGCGGGTACAAATTGGCAGCAGCAAGCAACGGAACGGATTAACTGGCGGAACATGGGAGAGGCCTTTGTCCTGCAGTGAACGTAGTCAGGCTGATGATGATGCTGCTGCTGCTGCTGATGATGATGATATTCATCATATAGAAGTACCCTCGTTCAGTGGACATTCGAAGGTCTAAACTAGAAGTGGCACGGCTAGACTAGAGGAGCGGCCCGCGCGAACTTTCTTACGGCCTTTTCTTACGGCCAACTTTTCACCGCCTCACGTTCATTGCACTGTGGCCTTACCCTTGCTAAAACCAAGGAGGTTACGCCCAGCGAGTTCGACGTGGCAATTCTTAAATTTCTGGTCAGATAGAGCTCAAAGTACGTCCTTCTGATACTACAGTTTTGTTTAGTAAGCATGAAATTCAAGGCAAATTTTACTGAAGTTTAGGTGACCGATACTCTAGCTTATTTCGTCAGAAACAACTATCCTTTTCTTTGTGATTAACGTGCGTGCGTTTCCTCCTCAATTCAAATGAGTGCGTGCGTGCCGCTTCTCTAGTCAGTCCGTGGAGGTGGCTATCTACTACTACGACGCACTACCACCACCACTACTACTACTACTACTTTACTACTACTACTACTATTACTACTACTACTTCTACTACTACTACTACTACTACTACTACTACTACTACTACTACTACTACTAATACTGCATGCAACGTGAATGCTCGAACCATGGCTTAAGTAGCTTCGCACCTAAAAAGCATTCCGCCCCTGGCGTTTTGCATGCTGTTGATCATCAGCAGCGCCCACTGAAGAAGGCAGACTGTCTGTCACGTGAGCCGAGCACGAGCTACAATTCTAGAAGGGCGAAGCAGGTATAGAGAAGGACATTTCAACTTCATTAACGGGAACCTCCAAAAAGGTGAATATATCAGTAGGCTTTTAGTTGACCCACTCACTGCGATCCTTTATCGTTCAAATACGCAGAAAAGAAACCTGTCACCAGTACTACATTGCAGGTCAGTTTGAGAACAGTTGTGCACAGCGTTGTTTTTCGTGGGTGAAAGCACGTGTACACTTAATTGCATCATATGCAGTTCATGCATCACATGCATTTTTTTCGTTTACCATGTATTGTGCATATGTAGACATATCTTTTTGTAACAATTATTGTGTATCTATGTATGTTGTGTTCCGTGTACTTATGTACATGTCTTTTTGTAACAATTTTGGTGTGTCTGTGGATGCTGTGTTCTGTCACGTTGTTCTATTGGAATGTAATTCATGTTCACTGTCTGTAAGAATAAATTACTCTAAACATCACTCGAATTGAGGAGCGCATAATGCTGACATGGGCGCTGCCATTCAGGCGAGTTGCAGTGCTCTGAAATTTTCGCGTTGTCGAAGGGAATTCAGATGCCCAGACTGTCTTTGTCTTCCACTCCCTAATCAAGTTAGACATTGAAGGATACTCTTCTGCTCATTTAACACAGCTGGGATACTTTTCGTACATGTTTCGTGGATTGCTTCTGATATTTTATGTGTGTCGATCTTCTCCGTAAGTACGTTTTTCTTGTGTGGCTTCGTAATTTTCAGACAATATTCCACTGTTTCTTTCTTCGTGGTAATTGCAACACTGCCATGATCCTTCGCTAATGTCCTTCGTATTGCAACTTCATTGTGATTATGTAGGGAGCTGATGACTTCGTTGAAACCTGTTACGTCGATGTCTTGCTTCGAGAATGTCTGATCTGCGGTACCACCTGTATCGAGCTCCGAAACCTGTTGTGACGAATAAAAGAAATTCTCTACTTCACAAATACCTGTTCGCAAAACGCAGATACGACTGCTTGCAAACTGTCTACTTTGCTCTTCGACTTAAGATGGTCCTTCGAGAGTTCACTCCATTTTCCTGTTATAGCGATTACTGCTGTGTTATCTGACGCCAAACAGACTGCTCTCTTATTTGTCATTAGTTTTCATAATCGATCCCATCCATTCAGAAAACTTATTCCACGTTCGTAGGCCGAACTTGGAAAAGCATCTGCATCCGCTAATGGTTTACTTTCTGCGATGAAGACTTTGTAAAGTTTGTCTTTAAAGCTTCAGTAATGTCGCCGCAGATGAAAGAAAGAACGACAGCTTATCTTCACTGATTACGGCAGCAACTACAGAAACAAATAAAACTCACTTTTCAACCAATGAAAATAGCCGGTCAAGTCCAATGGGGGAATTAAATGCTTCCTACGAATAGTCTATAGGCACTTTTCAAATTTAGAGAGACGGGCTGAGATAATCACCGTGGAGAGATGCAGTTGGCTGATTCAGCAGGCCAAACTAAAACTGATGCACCAAACTGCGCATCTACCATTCTTTTTGAAAACTCCTTAAAAAAGTCATTATTTTGGGTTGTATATAAAGTTGGTATGTTAAATTTCTTCAATTTCTCTCGTAATTATTGTTTCTACGCATTTGAAAATGCCTGCTGCCAAATTCAAAGAAACTCCGCGGGTTGCATGCAGATGCCTTCTGTCTGTAATTTTAAAGTAATATTGAACACATTTCTTGAAACGCTTGGTATATGAGACCCGCGTGGACAAGCCTTACTCAGGCTCGGGCCCGTTCCAAGTCCTGGCCGGGCCCACTTCAATAGTGCCTTAGCCGGCCCAGCCCACCGGCTGTGCCGGGCTGGTAGACTTAAATCAAAGCAAAGAACGCATATGCGCTTACAGCAAAAAATACGCATGCCAGAAATTTTGCGGCACCAACCTTTTGATAACTTTGATTATACGGGAGAGAAGTGTGTTCAGTATTTCTTGTACTCATTGTTGAAGCCCTCCTACAGCCATTACATTCCTCTTTTCAGCTCGTAGACGTGAGCACGCGTGAAAAGCTCGGACCGCACCAGATCGGGGAAATTTGCTTTCGAACACCATCCACGATGGTGAGAGGATACTTCAAAAGGCCACGTGAATCTGCTGAGCTCTTCGACGAAGAAGGCTGGTGCAAGTCGGGTGAGGCAGCATATTAAAATCAACACCCTTACGCGTAAAAATGTGTTAGGCAAAGTACGAAAAACAACACAGACAGGCGTAACATTTAACAAAATTTAGTAATAAATTCAGTAGCAAATTCCACTTGTCTGTGTCTTTTTTTGTTCTTTGTCTAAAAACGTTTGGCAGAAGATGCAGTGAAGCATGAAACTCCAGCTAGCTTGAATCAATACCCTGATGAGACATCAAAGTTTCGGTTTAGCAGTAAAAGTTGTTATGAGATCACAAAAAGCGCCGATTCTGGCCGCGTTGTTGTCCACCGCTGCCGCAGCCGCGGCCAGTGTGCGTAACCACTATTGCGCGGAATAAGAAAACAATACCAAATAAATAGGAGCACCCCAAACAGGATGGGAATTGAACCCGGGTCCTCTGCGGGGCAGCGCAGTACTCTACTGTACTCTACTGTACAGCACTCTACTGAGCTACGCCACGTCTTTTTGTTCATTTTAGCTGCAGCACACGGGCACGGGGAGAAAAATTATAATAAAATACACGAAAAACATGCACAATAAAATTATGTTTCAAACATGACACAACAAACGCTAAAAACCATCAAGCCATGGTACCATTTGACTTACTACGCTTTGATACAATTTTTGACCGAAACACTGCTTGGATTTGCAACAAAGTTCTTCAATATCTATAAAAGAAAAAAATACTATAAATCTACAACTTTAGCTACCAGCCATGCAATGGTACAAAATCTATAACAAATCATACGTAGTGAAACCAACGCCTTGTGTTGTAGACGTCTGAGGTGTTTTTCTTTGTTTTCTAAACATTTCTTACCTATAAAGTAGAAAATCACAGTGCTGGAGATGAGAATTGCAGCTTCTGAGGCAGCTTTTCGGTTAAAAAAAGTGACACAGAGTTGTCCTATTATTCCTCAAATGATATGTGTGTTAAGCTGCTAGCATAAGTTTTTACGATGTTACTATTTGTTGTTGTACCCTTCAACTTTTCGCCGTGGCTTTAAACTGCCACTGCTTTTTGCAGCTCTTTTGGCATCTTGCTCGGATAAGTTTTTCTTGTTTGAAATCGCTCATATGCGTATGAGCTATGACATACACGTATATGTATGTTCAATCCCAGTTTAAACGTGCCTAAATATGCTAAGTTCTTGAAGATAACATTACTTGTAAGTAATATTAGACAGTTCTATTGCTGGCTACCCAAGCAGCTTGGGTAACCCGGACGTAGGGGCGACGGTGCTACGCATGAGCGAAGCCCCAAGCAGATGCGTCACTGGGCTGCTGGGGCCTAAATATGCTAAGCTCTTGAAGGTAACATTACTTGTAAGTAACATTAGAGAGTTCTATTGCTGGGTACCCAAGCGGCATGGGTACCCCGGACGTAAAGGCAACGGTACTACGCATGAGCGAAGCCCCAAGCAGATGCGTCAGTGGGTTGCTGGGGCTATATGCCCAAGTGGCCATAAATATCGATGCCACCACTGGCCTTCTAGTGAACATAGGCTGCGCCTTATCGTTAGAGACTTCTAAACCTGGCAGAACATGTTACCCGTCACGTAACCCACGTTCACGACGAGCAAAGACAAAGAGCGGGCCCGAGCCATCCGCCCTACTACCGAACACAGAGGTGCCAAATCTCGAAAAACACGGCTTATTCGCATTCCCAGATGCCACCTCAGGTGAACCAGCGCAGCGCAAGGCTTTACTTTGTGCCAGATGTGGACATTTTTGTGCTGCGTGAGGTGCTGGCTGAGGGCCTGTTTGAAGACAGGATTAGATAGGCCACGAAACTTATTCGTGGTGTTCACGTCCACATGGCCAGAAGCTGATTTGCATAGCCATTGTTTACGCATTTGTTAATGGACAATTCCTCTATTTCTACCCGAAAAAATTCGAGGTAGAGCTGCTGCTCGCAGAGCACGCTGCAACGCCGACAGTGCAACGGTGTAACGGTGAGGTCAGTCACTGCAAGTCCTCTTCATGCACGTCCTAGTGTACGTCGTTTACACAAAGTTACATCGTTGTCAGACTATACGACTACCCGCCTGTATTGCTTAGCATCGGCTTTACGAAAAATACGAAAAAAAGTTTGCTCTTTTGGCCTGGGTGTACAACATTGTAATACATTTAAGAATGTTTTATTCAGAGTAATTCAATTCATGTTGCTATTTTTGCTCAAGTGAACATTTTAAATTGTAAGAAAATGTAACTACTTCACTAGACGCAGTGAGCGCGTGTGACCTTCGTGCGGCTCGCGTTTGCGTACACGACGCTAAAATGCATTCCTTTTGGGTACGCAACGCCACGCGCCCTTAAGCCTTCGGGGTCCAAGCACTTCGTCACCCAGCATTGAAACTCTCTATTATTCGTTTGTATTTTTTAGGTGACGCTGGGTACTAGTAAGCAAGCTCGAGAGACCATGCAATGATCGCTTTTTTCTTTCCTAAAAGGAAACAGTCATACACCACCACCACAACGTACTTGCTCTCTGCAATTCAAGTTTGAATCCCTGCTTTCTATCGTGTTCTGGTTCTCTGCATTTTTCGATGATTCAGTTTTTTTTTTGTCGTCAACCATCTCATTTTCGTAGCAATGGCTATAGCCCATGTAGTCGGCTGTAACGTGAAGAAAAATTTCGTCAATTCTTTGACAAGTATTCATTTAATCAAAATTTGCATGCAACCTCATTCCTTTTTAAACACTGATTATGTCTGCCTAATTACACGACTGCAATAGTCTGGTGTTTCTGAGGCAGAACTTTAGCAGTTAGTAGCCAACGTAGCAATCACGGAGTTTAGTGTGTGCGTTGTTACACACTCTACCGTGCTATCCCTTCCACCAACCCTGTCTTGCTAAGCAGATGGAAGACTGTATGACGCCTTTTAAATTAGAAGAATTTTTTAGCGAAGTTTGGTGATTTTGACTTGATCTGTCTGTCTATGTAGCCACTTTAACTTTTAGCTTTCCTGGAAGCTTCAATAATGGTATCTATACCGAAATCGGTACGGCATAAGATCACTTATGATGAGCATAACGAACCATAGTCATACCATAAAAATTATGACACTTATCTCACGAATGTAATGATTTACATGCCCAGTCTTGCTGCGTTGGGGTGTTTCGTTCATATGGCAAATTGATAAACCGATGTGGTATGACGTGACTGCATGGCAAATATGTGCGACCTTAAGGTAGAAATCATGACATACATGTCTTATAAAGTCATGGCTACCCACCACGCTCATGACGGGCTGGTGGTCGTTTTGCTTGCTTCGCGTATACCGAATTTGGTATTTCGTGCCATGGACGAATGACGAAAGTACTAGACTGGTGCAAACACGATAATCGTAAAATGGATGTCATGTGAGAAATGGCTACATGCCACGCTCACGATGCGTTTGCGCCGTTTCGCTAGCTTCGCATGTACTAAATTGGAATTACGTGACGCGAACCGATGACAATGGTAAATGACACGTAGAAACAGGATAACCATTGTATGAGTGTCATGTAAAACATTGTAACATGCTGCGCTCATAGCGCGCTCGCAGCCGTTTCACTAGATTCACACATACCAAATTTTGTATTACGCGACGTGAATTACCACAAATACAAATGCTAAACACGATAAACTTGATGGATGACGTTTCCCTTGACGTAAAAGCCTGTGCCTACATGATGAAAGTACATAAGCCACTTCCTGTGCTACTCAAACTGCTCAATGTAGCTTTTTCGCCCATTCATTCTCGCAACTTTTATGGAAATTAAAATCAGTTTATTTCAATTCACTTCGATACTCAAGACATAGTCTCACGAAAAAAAATGCTAGTTTGCTTCAAAAATGTACTTCACGTTGTCAATAACTTTTTCATAAGGCGTTTTAGCACACTGACACAAAAACAAAAAGTGAGCACCCCGAAGTTCACGTATAGACGTGGTACTTTGCAAAACATGTCTCATCGAAGTAGGAATTTAGTAAATATATTGTTACGTGAAGGAGACTGACTCAGAGGGGTAGTCACCGATGTATTTACAGACGGTTAGGCGAGCAGCGCCAGCCACACAGATTAGCTCGTGCCAGTCTATCTGCTTCGTCTTCTTCAGCTCCATGCACTGGCACGTAGCATGACCCCCGGCGGCGGAGGCACCGTCCCGGTGCTTTAAAGGTCGTTATCTGACGCATTATTGTAGGGCTTGATCCGCGAGACGTGTACGATATCACTGGGCCGCATAGTAGATGATGATGGGCAGATGGGGCTGATCTCGTAGGTGACAGGTGTTACTTGACGCAATATACGATAGGGTCCCGTGTAATGAGACAGAAGTTTTTCGGATAGGCCCAGCCGACGATGAGGGGACCAGAGTAAAACGAGGGTACCGGGAGCGAAATGTACGTCTCTATGTTCCGCATCGTACCGACGGCATTGGTTGGTTTGCGACGCCATCAGCCGAGCGCGAGCGAGCTGACGGGCATGATCGGCTCGCGCAATCGCGTCGCGGGCATACTCGCTGGTGGACGAGGTGTGAGCTGAGATGACTGTGTCCAGTGGTAAAGTCGGCTCTCTTCCGTACAATAAGTAGAACGGCGAAAAGCCCGCTGTGTCGTGACGGGATGAATTATACGCGAAAGTTGCGTACGGTAAGGCAAGGTCCCAGTCTCGGTGGTCGGGCGACACGTACATAGCGAGCATATTTGTTAAAGTGCGGTTAAATCGTTCCGTAAGGCCGTTTGTTTGAGGGTGGTAAGCGGTTGTCAGTGTGTGTTGCGTCGAACAAGAACGCAGAATGTCGGCGATGACTTGGGATAAAAATGTACGGCCACGGTCTGTGAGAAGCTGTCTCGGCGCACCGTGAATCAATATAACGTCCCGTAACAAGAAGTCAGCGACGTCGGTTGCACAGCTGGTCGGTAGAACTCGCGTAATAGCGTAGCGTGTAGCGTAGTCTGTGATAACGGCTATCCATTTGTTTCCCAATGTTGATGTGGGAAAAGGACCAAGCAGGTCTAA